GCCCTCCTTTTTCCTTTTGCCGAAAAGGAAGAAGTGCCGACAAGAAAGATGCTGAGAAACAAACTAACTCAATGACCAAAACCCAGTTTTGAAGTCTAGAATAAAAATATAGAAACACTCGAATCACTGAAGACTAAAAATAAACCACTATAACTTTTTCAATAAGAGAAGGGAAACGTACTTTTGTTTTGAGGAGTTCCACTAACAACCCAAGTGTCGGCAGCAATAGAAGCTTCAACTAAATAACAGAGAAAACAACAGTTAGCGCCAATCTAAAAGACAAAATGCAGATTCAGTTTTCACTTTGTGTACCTTTAGGGTTAAGGAACTGGATGACTACATCCTCTGAAAATATTGACCTCCTCAATAGCAGGTATTGCATTGACACCTATTCTTTTCAGGGTGCTTTGAAGTCTTTTGTCATCTATGGTGTTTGTCTTGTGAATAGCCTTCTTTTTTCTGCGATTGGAGGCATATATTAAACAACTTTGACAGAAAAGTATACAATCTAACTATATTCAACTTGTGTTCCAGCTTAGTACAAAATGTATATGCAGTCTCTATACAAATTATGAAGCCCATTTCAACAGACTGTTTATTTTTGTGAAGAATGTAAAAAAAAAAAAAAAACTCGGAATGATAACATAGATACAAACCTTCTCATGGTACCCTTCCCACCAGTTCGGACTGAACCAGCTATCTTTATTAACTTTTCCACGTTCATCTGTCAATGACAAATCAAGTAGTTCAACAAGAACTGCCAAGAATTCTTAATGTCCCAATGACAGCTTTAAATATATTTCACAAGGCAAAACTACATTCAGAAAGATCTTAGCAACTAGTCAACAACAAGCAGCATCAAGAAAAGACAAAATACTCATAAACAAGTGCTAATCTCCGAAAGTGATAACTACTATATATTAGCACATATTAGCCATACGGCACCAATTGAATTGTAAATTTCTCCAAACTACTATTTATTAGCCCATATTAGCCATACGGCACCAATTGAATTGTAAATTTCTCCAACAGATGTTATTCTCTGGGGTAAATCTCATATGACAAGTTGCTATCAAAAAACATTGCAACTGTAACAATAAAATACTGAAATAACAGGGATATTATAGCAAATTCTTTTATTATACAAATAAATTCTCATTGATAAAGAGCGCAACAATAAATGATATCAAGCTCTATACTCTTTTGAAAAGAAAAAACAGATCAAAAGTTTCACTAAAGCATACAAAAAATGCTACAAAACCGTCGACCTATCTAAAGAAATGCATAATGAAGTATGTCAACCTACTTGAAACCTAAAATGGATATACAAAGCATCAAATGATAAATCATCAGAGTTGTGATCATATATCAACACCATTAATCCATAAGTAGAACTAAAAATCTAAACAAATAAAAAATAACAGTCTTCTTAAGAATGAAAAGAAAAAAGATCTAGAGAAACAAACAAAACGGCAAACAATACCAAATTAAATATAAAAGGCACAAAAGACTGAAGTTATGTGTCATGAGTCTCCTTCCATAATTCCATTGGCTGCAATGCTGAGAAGTTGCAACTTCTCTAGGGAGAGGGTTTATAGAACTGTTGTAATAGGATGCTCTTGCACATAGGCTTCACATGTTCTCTCCTCATTTCTCCAATTTCCTTTGTTTCGTTGTTATAGTTGGTTGTGCTTAAAAATATTCTCTCCTTGAGTCTTGCTTAAAATAGCTCAAAAACCCCTTTAAATATTCTACCGTCCCATCTCAATTGAAAAGGCAAATAACGTTTCAGGAACAAATCTAGTTCTTCTTACGTGTTAAGAGGTGTCAAGACGGACGGGCCGGCCATGACCCGTGAAAATCGGCCCGTGAAAACCCGGACCGCGAGCCGACCCGTGACCCGTGCGGGCGGTTCACGGGCCAAGGAAGTGTAACCCGCGGCTTCGCGGGTTACACCCCCACGAGCCGCGGTTAACCCGCG